TTGTCTGTCCTCACAAAAAAAGTGATGCCATTAAATAATGTCCATAAGACCCCTTATTTATCCTGGTGAGGGATACAATATGTATCCCAGGCAAGTATGCTACTTGTAGCTTTTTTTCAGACAGCTAAATAAGCAAGAGAATCTTGTTTCAAGAGTTTTTCCTTGCATGATCCACACGCCTAGCCTCTGACCTAGAAACATCAGACAAGAGATCAAAAAAATGCTCCTTCACTGTTCAGTCACTATCAAAGTGAACTCCAGTTAGAGGCAGGGCGGAGAAAAAGATCTGCCAGCAGACACCGTTCTCCTGATCCTAGTCCATCATCAAGAATCTATAAATCCTTAGGACTTTCCAAGGTCTAGAGCACCCATGGACCTAGAAGCAGATTCAGTTCTCTCCAGTATCTCCTGGTACTCTTTCCATGAGCCAAGATTCTTCAGTAGTAATGACATTTAAAGTAATCACCTCAGTGTCAACTACTCCAGCAGCAGTAATTGTGGTACCAATGTCCTGTAGATCATCGGAGAGGCTGGCTACCTTGAACTTTGGTCCCAAGTGAACTCAGTTCAGCACCAAAAGTATACCTAGCATTCAAAGACAAAACTGTTTCCTCAGTACCAGAACTTTTGTTCTAGCATACCACCTCCAGTAACTGAACCCAGCACCCTTTCCCATAGTGGCACTGGAAAATGTTCATTCCTTGTATCTACCCATTACTCTCAAGAGGAATGGCTCCCTCCACTCCTTATGGAATGCTCTTTTGCCTAAAAGAGCAGACAATCTTCTCCAGAAAGTCCTTCATATCTAGATACAGCAAGACCTGATGTAGGAGATCACTATAGCTGAAGAGCTCAAAAGACTAGAGACCCCTGGAACTCATTTTCTTGGCCACTAGCCCATAAGCTTACCAATGTCTGTAAAGCCTTGTTATGGTAAACCAATGTCAGCTATTCAGCTGTGACACAGATCTCCACCCAGAGCATCAGGAAGAGAAGTTTACCTTCCAAAACAGGTCAAGCCCATTGATGATGCATCAAGAACATGATCAGAGCTGCAGGTGAAGAATAAAATTTCTCTGCACAGTTTGTGTTTGTCCCCTCATGAAACAGTAGTTCTTGAAATTCTATAGAAGTGATTCAGGATAGGCCACACCACAGCTCTCTGCATATTTTATACACTTAGTAAAATTATTACAATAAATCCAAGCTTCACTGACCCCTCAAGGGGTCCAGTGAATTCAAACACCTTCATGTCATATTGAATGAAATAGTTTGAATGTTTGTAAAGGTTGCCCATTAGCCAGTTTCAGGAAGAAGATAGGATTTATCTCCTTATCTAGCTCATTGTTTTGGGGCTACGTGAAAAATGTCCTGACTTCACTTAAAGCCTTAACTTAAATTGTATCTTTAGAAGTCTTTTACAAAGAAAGCAAATATCCAGAATTCCGAGACATCAAAGCCTAAGGCCTTTTAACCAAATTGCTAAGAAAAGGGTATTTACAGTGATATGGAAGAAGTCTCCCCAAGAGTAATTTAAAATGCTCAACAAAGGTAATTTCTGTTGAGTAAGATCCGAGCCCAAATTTGGGAGTAGTGACGAATTGAGTAGGAGGAGCCCACTGACGGCAGCTCACTCAATAAAAACCTGTAACCTACTGTCCCAATTTGGAGGTGACTTCACTTGCAGAACAACGAAGGAAGAATCGCAAGTGTAAGCTCGGATTAGATTGATCACCTAACCCAACCTCTCCGTGAACACGACTCTCTTAGTTCACGCTGAAGCCGCGGAGCGCCCGAAAGGGACTGAAGGAAGGGGACTTAGTCCTATCACTGCTGAGGCCAGCTCATTGAATCGTATTGCTGAGGCCAGCCCATTGAACCGTACTACTGAGGAATTAAACCATATTTTGGTATTTGGCTTCTCGGAATTCTAGGATTGTAAGTATATTATGAAAAATAATAGTATTGATTCAAATTTAACTTTTAGTTATAACTGTAGTTGTTTTTGTAACACTAATTCTTATAGCATTGTTTGGGAAGGAAGTGCATTCGGAGCATTGTTTCTGATATATGTAATTATTGTGTTTTTAATGTTTGTGGTGTTTCTTAAAGCTAAGCAGTGTTATATACGTAGCAAAGAGTTTTAAAATAAAATTGTGTTGTATAAATTAAGTGTGTAATCATTGGGAAGAGTTATCTACTGCTACTTTTCCAGTGAAGAATCATGATGCGGTAGATAATGCCATAGCATTTGAGTCTCAAAAACGGTTCAGACAGGCAGCTAACTGAGTATTGTAATAGCCAGTACTTTGGAGAAGTAAAGAAACAAAATAATTAACAGGAGTAGGATCACATGATGTTTCCACCTGAACTGAGGATTTGCTTTGGGGTTATACCCATTGTTCCAGAAGGAGCTATCTACTATGCAAACCATCACATTTCAACCACAGCAATGGGAAGAGAGATGGGACCATGCAGATGATTGTATATACTGAACAGTCACAAGTCCCTAAATTATTTGCCATATTATTTCAACCAGAATTTCTTCTTGTTTTCTTGAGAAGCAACATTTAAGTTTTTAAATAGAAGTAAGATTTATGTAATGCCTGATGATTCATACCCCACCAACTCATCTGAGAATATTCACGACTTTCAGCATTTCAGCAGTCAACTCAACTCTAATCAGATTGTTGCTGGTAAATCTGTTGTGTTGCAGTACAATATTCTATTATTATGACCTCTCTGTTGCAGGAAAAGCAGTCTCAAGCATCAGAACCACTAGTAGCTCTACAAGTTTCTAAACTTTTATGTGAATCACATTGAATTGATAGAGTTAGCTGGGTTGCTGAAGATGCACAAGGATCAAAGTCCAGAAATATTCCCTTCTCTGGATTGGCGCTGAAGATGCAATTGTTAGACACTGTCCTCAGAGCAGGGAGTTCCCCATCCCTGGACATGATTCACTTAGCTTCAGTAGCATCTGATAACACATCAATATAATATCTGTTGGAGACCTAGATTTCTTATTGATGCACTGTTTTCTTTTTTCCTTTTAATATTATTGTAGATAATTTTCATTATGGTTTATTGTTGGAGGGAAGCCTGTCAAGTTGAAGTCTAGCAGCTACAACTGTTCAGTACAAATAATAGGGGAAAGATGAGATGCAATGAGTTAGGTTTTCAACCTGCTTTCCCACAACTATTCAGTATCACTTTCCAGCAATCCAGGAACAAGTCTACTTAATATTTCAGAATTAAGCAGTCTTTCCTGTGACTTTAGATGGACTTCTAGTTTACTTCTAGTATTTACAGGTAAAAAGTAAATTCAGTAATATTCCCTAGCTGCACACTTCCATCA